TAAGGATGCGAATGCAATGCGAAGCTGTCTTAAATATTTTTTTTTTTTCTTCTGCGGACGCACTCTTAGTCCTTGCAGATCCACTCTGACTCTGTAATTTAAGATTAGTATAATATACCCCTCGCTTTTCATAATTTCTCTTTCTGCACTTGGGATTTTAATTAAAACTTTTTCCGTTAACAAAATGTTTTTAATTCTGCATGCCAATACTTTGCTTAATTTAAAAAAGAAAATGTTAGATTTACTGCGTTAAAATGGATGAGAAAAAGAAAGATAGCCAGATAAATCTAACTATTCCGTGTCGGTCGATTTTGTGAAAGAAATTAAATTTATTTATTTATTTATTTTATTTTAAGTTCTTGAATCATTAAATGCCAATCGTTACTAGTATTTGAAGTGGTATGGAACAAAATACACGTTACTATCTAAATGAATATTTTAAATCTTTACTAATAATACTTTTAGGGCATCATAATCAACATGTCGTACACATGGAGGTTTATAGAATAGTGTAGATCGATGAATTTGACTATGATGAGAACTTTATATTTTACCACTTGTACTAAATTTGGACTGTGGTGTATATATTTCATACTCAATGTATCGTCAAGAACATTACTACATAAGGTTGTAAGATGAAATAAAATAAAGATATGAAAATAGCTTGGTTATTATTTTAGTCTATGAAAAGGTGCTATTATTAATTTGCAAAAAAAAAATCTCTTTGAAAATCTTGAAAGCAAAAAACTTGTATGTTTGTTTAGAAAAATAGATAAATCCAAAAAAAAAAATTGTTTAAGAAATTTGTTTATATAAAAATATATGTAATATATATTTATTATTTAGAGAAAACATGTACAATTTTTTTTAATATTAGAGGAAATTGTAGTATATTTAAGCATATTTTTAAAAAAGGGAATTATACTTTACTTTTAACATTTTTTAAGTTGAATAAAACATTTTTATTAAGAAAAAGTATTATTTTCATGATCGATTAACAAATGTATTATTATCGTGATTTTTTACAGAAGTTGTTGTTGAAAAATACAACATATGTAGTTAATTTAATATAATTTTTTTAGCATTTTTTATAATATTATATTTTTATTTCTCTCCATCATATTAATTATATCATCTCATACTTTCCTATCTGAAAAAAAATGTATATAAATACATTTTTTTTGTTAGGTACTTAACAAAATATAAAATTTATTTTTTCCTTCTGTATTTTACCTCCTAACAAGCCCATTTTAAGGCACCATCATAACAGGGCTGATGATAAACACACCTTCACTCTCGTATAAACACACCTTCTTTTTAAAAAAAATATATAAAATGTCTAAATTACCCTTTTAAAAAAAATAAAATTCCTAAATTTACACCTCCCTTCCCCGCACCCCACACTACACTCCCCTCTTCTTCCCAAAGCCTCTTTCCGCTCAATGTCATTAAGTAATATATTTTTACAGTCATTCTGAATAGAAAAAAAAGATTAGTCCCACCATAACCAGCATAAACAAGGCTCTTTTACAATCATTAGCATTCCGGAAAGTACTTTTACAGTCATTAGCATTCCGGAAAGTACTTTCCGGAATAGTAAAATTATTGTTCATATAATTCCGGAAAGAACTTTCCATAATAGTAACTTTAATATTATGGAAAGTACTTTCCGGAATTATGTAACAAAACATTTCCGGAAAATACTTTATGGAATAAGAATTTAATATTATGGAAAGTATTTTTCGGAACATTTTTATATAATTCCGGAAAAAACTTTCTGTAACAGTAAGAAGAAGAAGAAGAGGAGTGCCAGAAAGAGAAAGAAGAAGGGTGTGCGAGGTGCGGGAAAAAAAAGAAAAGAAAAGGAGTGCCACAAAGAGAAAGAAGAGGGGTGCGCAATGTCAGCAGGTGGTCTTGTAAGAGAAAGACTCTTACTTGTTCTATGAAAAGAAACACTAGTACAAAAATGACTTTTAAAATCGGAGTTTTAAAATCAGTCATAAGGTAGTCATTTTAAAAGTGACGCGGTGGCCTGTACTACAACAGAACGGCCCCAGAACGGCCTGTACTGCAAGCAGAACGGCCTGTACTGCTTGCAGAACGGGCCGTACTGATATCAGAACGGACCGTTCTGAAAGCAGAACGGGCCGTTCTTCTTGCAGAACGGCCCGTTCTAGTGCCGCTCCAGACTAACGCTTACATGCAGATACAGGATAAGGGAGGTGCGGGGAAGGGAGGTGTAAATTTAGGAATTTCATTTTTTTAAGGGTAATTTAGACATTTTATATATATTTTTTAAAAATGGGGGTGTGTTTATACGAGAGTAGAGGTATGTTTATCATCTGCCTCATAACAGACTAATATTGGATCCAATGTCTCAACCAAAACTGGATAAGACTTGGACCCAAAAAAACAACACAAAAAAGAGAGGGCTCATGATATATACACCTCCTTTTTTTTTATAAGTACACCTCCTTCTTTTAAAAAAAAATTATAAAATATTATAATTTTTTAAAAAAATTTAATTTTACACTTTCAACTTTCAATTTGCTACTTTCTTCTTCTTATTCACACATTTTTTTTTCTCTTTCAATTTTCACATGCTACCAAAATAGGTGGGTGAAGAAAAAATAAGAGAGTGCATGTAAAAATTGAAAAAAAGGAGGAAAGATATGTGAAAAAAAAGTACTAAATTAAATGTTGTGGATGTAAAATTAAAAAATTTAAAACAAAAAATTAAAAATATTTTAAAATTTTAATTATTTTTTTTAAAAGGATGTGTAATTATAGAAAAAAGGAGGTGTATATATCATGAACCAAAAGAGAGTCGTAAGACTGTTTCAAACCCAAACTTTTTAAGCTATGTCCAACATATGTAGTGTCCAATTAATAGTCCATCTCTGGATAAGCAAAACCAATTCATTATCATTAATGTACAAATGACACTTTGTATCTATGTGAATTATCTTTAAAAAATAATAAATAATAAAAATATATAATAACTGATAATTATTAAAAATATAGATGATTATAAAGTAAATTTTACAGAAAAAATAAAAATGGAATTTATAAAAGGATGGTTATACAGATAAAATTGTCTAAAAATATAGACACATTAATGTCTATTGTTAATAGTATAGATTTAAAAGCATATGAATAAATTCCCTTCGGAAAGTTGCCCTTTAACAAATGAAAGTCAATAATTGTAGCACAATAGTGCATATCTTGGAGAATATTGTGGACTTATCGTAGCTGTTGATGATGCCATAACAGTGAATTTAAAGAAAATGAATCTTCTCTGCTTAATGGACCTCTCTTTGATAAAATTTGCAACGATATATCACATTGAATATTAACAATAACTGTTCAATTTATTTCACAATTGGTTAATAAATTAATCGTCAGTTTGGTCGATATCAATGACAGAATGTTAATGTTTTTACTGATGAAGTTTAATAACAATACACTCTCTAGCAACACACTCTCTAGCAACACAATCGTGAAACAAATTAACAACCAAGAAAGACTATAAAAATAAAAATAAATAAAAATTAGCTAATAATTAATTATTTAATGTAAAAAGGTAAAATATGTATTTAGGTACAAGGACTCATCAAATAAGAAAGGATAAACTATATTCCAGCAGAAGCACTAAAATCGGTAGTGGCAAATTTTAACTTTGCTCATGCCAAGTATTTTTGTGTGTATGAACTATACTCATGTGATGGTTCTATTAATTTTTTATTTATTTATAGAAATTATAATAGCATTGTTTGAAAAAAAAATAACCATAATAGTGACAAAAGACTTTTAACTTAGAATCATACGTATATTATTTAAAAAATTTCATTATTAGACTATTGATTATAATTATACTTATTATACTTATTACAAGAAAATTAAAATAGACAAAAATTATCACTAAATATTAAAAATTTGTAAGTGAATGAGACTCTCCTCATATGCATAGTCTTTTGATGGCCTACTCTTTGGAGGTTTCTAAGAATTCAATTCTTGTTTGTCTCTTTTTCTTTTGATTTCTATTTTTATCTCGTATATAAAAAAATATAAATAAATATCTATTTTACATTAACTCACATGTAATCTATCTATTCATTATATGAGTTGTATAAACATAATTTTTTAGATTTTACTTATGACAAACAATTATAAGTACAAGTATTTAAATTTTATTAACACTAAATATTTATATGTAAAAGTGATTTTGAATTATTTTTTACAATCATCATATCTTTAAAAATAAAACATCCGCAAATATAAATCATTTTCATTTGAGTGACTATTTATATAAAATCGTAGTGACTATTTAATCATTTGTATAAAATGTATAGTTTTGTATCGATCCAATGATTGGATTTTAATTATATATTACTTTCATTATTTGCTTCAAAATTGATATAGTTAATTATAGGTATGTATTAAAGATTTATATATATATATATATATATATATATATATATAAATACAAATTCTTAAATAATTTTAGATTAATACATTAATTTACAGATACAATTCATTAATTTTAAGATAAATTCATTAAAGGTTTTTTTTTTTTATATAACTCATTAAAGTATTGTAATTTGATATGGATTATGATGTTGATATTATGGTGTCATATTAATGAAATGATATTTTTAATATTTTTTTATAAAATGTAAATTCAACTAATCTAACTATTATATTAGGAGATATTATATTCGCGATCATGCATGTCACATTTTAAATGGATTAAACTTTTCTTAATTTGACAATAGATATTTATGTGTATTTGAATATCATACGTTAAAATAAAGTGATGTGATAAACTATCAAATAATTTTAAAATTATAAACAATTTTGCATGTTTGATCTAATTATTAATATTATTAAATATAATGGATGAATTCATTAAATTATTTGAAAAATTATTGTAGGTACCATTTTCTTAATTTAACACTATAATGTCAACGAATCTTTATATATATATATATATATATATATATAAAAGAGAGAACTTACTATTAAGTGATTTTTGCACCACAGATTCCCATATTAGGGAGAATAGCTTCTGCTTAAAGGTAAAGGCTGAAATTGAAATGCTGTAAATTAAGCGGAAATGTACATACTGAACTAACTTCATATGGGCAATTATTCTGACTGACTCGTCATTTAAAGACACGTACTGAAAGAGCCCACACCATGATTTGTCATTGGAAAGCCGATCAATGTTAACTTGTACACGATTTCTGTACTACTACTCATACGTGGGCCAAAAGGAACCACATCACAGAACCAAATGAAAATTCCACCTTCCCAAAATAGAAGAGACATGCAAATTATTCTATTCGGCAAGGTCACTTTATCATTCATATGTTGCTGTTTGTCGCTGAAAATGGTTCAAGCCCTGCATTCTTATTCGACCAATTTCTCCAAATTTCATCTCTAGCAGCCATTTCTGATTGTTGTAATTGGTCACCACCATAGAAATTGCCATCACCACCACCTCCTCCTCCTCCTATCCCCAACAAGTCCAAAGTCATCACATCCTCACTCCCTTTAGTTCCACCAACATCAATGGAACCACTTGACCTAGTACCATTACCATTATTCATTGCATGCAAAACCCCATTACTGCTTCGAATATTGTTCTGCTCGATCATCTTCGACAAGGCCTTACTTTGATCCAATATAACATTAAACATGTCTAACCCACTCATTATTCCCATCTCATTCGCATTGAAATTATAGTGAGACAAGTCTTGTTGACCATTTTGCATGGTATGGTTCATGATCCCATATGATGGTGGTGCCATGCTCGTGCTAAAGCTTTTCTGATCACTCATCATGTTGCTATTCACTGTTGCTCCCATTTGTGCAGCTTTTTGGAGCAATGCTGTGGCGGACATGTGTGGTGAATGGAGACCATTATTATTTTCCTCGAACATGTTGTTTGGTGAGTTTGAGGTTAGTTGAGAGGGAGATGAAAGGTTTCTCGTGAATGCTGCCATGTTGTTGAAGGGTTTTGTGGGCATTGTGATGTTCATGAGATCGTGAGGGAGTGGTAATGGGTGTTTGTTGTGATTGTTGGTATTGATTGGTAATGATGCAACTATGTTTGGGATTATCGGTGGTTGCAAGTTTGAGCCATGCATATTTGGTAATTGTCCCTCGTTGAATTTGTCGTTCTCCTCATTCAGAGCATCGCAGAAAGCTCTGTGGGTGATGAAGCTGTCTCTTCTGCAGGTCATAATAAATAAAGGATATGCAGCGAGTTATTTTTCTGCACTAATATCAGTTAAATAAATAGAAACTAACATAATTTAAAGAATAAAGACCATGCATATGAACATTAATATTATGGAATAGAACGTGCTAAATTATAGGAAAAATTGTTGCACGAAATTGGGTCACTCAATCTTCACTCTAATTACTCTTACTCATGTATGGTTTGGGCAAGTCACTGGTTCTTGCTTGGTCAACTTTTCTTCCTAACAAATAGCATCACTGCGTGGAATAAAAGACCTCACTTTAAATCTTTGACTGGAAATACGAGTACTGGCTAGTGACTTATCAGTGCCGTGGGGTAGAAATATAGTGAGAGATAGAGACCAATTTATTATGAAAATGAATTTAACTAAAGAGATGACTAAACTATATGTACATATCACAAAGTTTCGATTACAAGTAATCATATAAATCTCTAAAAGTTTGTGTGGTCAAAGTCGAATTAAATGTACACTTTATTTAATTAGTGGAGGACCTAGCTATTGCATGCAACTTGGGCACAGATTAAGAATTAATATTCATGAATCCAATAAAACATACGCATATAGTATATGATAACGGGTGAGAGGTGAGGATGAACTTATTTGAAGAATAACTCTATAATTAATTTAATAACTCTCTATATATTTTAAATTTTAATAATCTAACGATTAAATTAAAAAAAATATTGAATAGACTAATCTTATAAATTTTAAAAATTATTTAATATTTTATTAAATAAATTTAAATTAATATAATATATTTTTAAGTAAATTATTAGTACATACATTAACTATAAGACTAACTACCTATAAATATTTTATTTATCAAAAATTTAGTAGATATGATTATTAAAATATTATCATTAAAATTTATTATATAAAAAAGTAATTCTACCAACAAAAAAAAAAAGTTATTGTTAGGGTAAATGGATAATTGGATATTGTGTAGTTGGATGAACCTGGAAAAGATGGTGCCACAGTCACATTTGTATTCCTTTGTTCCACATATTTTGGAATGTGCTTTCCAATCAGACTGAACAGCATATTTCTTTGAGCACTTATCACATTTCCACTTCTTCTCGCCGTGCTTTCTGCTGAAGTGCTTTTTAATGCCAGTGAGATCGCCTAGTGCTCGAGCAGGGTTGTGGTGGACACAAGAGGGTTCTGGACAAACATAAACCCGTTTTCGAACTTCTGTGGTGGTTCTCAGTTTCAGCTTCCACGGCAGGTTATGGCCTCGCCGGTGTAGTTGAAGGTTTTGGTCCCTTTGAAACCCTTTGTTGCATATTTCACATACGAACCGGTTTGTGGCCACTAGGGTGTTTGGTGATAGAGCTATGACTTCAGCACTTGGATCTGCACACGTGCCACACATATTAATTAATTTAACTATATATGCACGCACGCATGTTTTTCCTTGTCCAAGTGTATGTATATGTAGTACCTTCACCATTAATTATTATTTGACATGCACCGAAAGCAGACCCAAAACCTTTATTTTAAATTTGTTCAAATTATGTAAGAAAGTGAAAAAAAGAAAGTGAAGATAATGCAATTCAAAATAACGAAGGAAAATGTGGGATAGTGGATTGTTTGTTTCATCAAAAAGAAAGAAAGAGAGAGAAAGAGATTAAATAGAATTGAAAACTTTTGCACTCTTTTTATGTTGATACGCACCCACACAAGGAAACAAAACAAACACGTCAAATGAACACTGATGAGTAGGAGGCATGGCAGGGATATATATGTAAAGGTGTATGGTCCTTTATACTTGAAACAGTCGTGAAACAAAAATAAAGGAAAAAGTAAGAGATCGAGCCAGCAGTGAAGAAAAGTCAACAGTGAACAGCAATGATTGTGAAACCCTGCAGGCAATAATTGAGGTTCTTCGACGACTACTTCATCACGCACCAATAATTCAACCATTTTTGCTATTCAATTTTGAATTAAAACATCCCAGGTCCTCGTTTTCCCCGCTTATCAAGAAAATAAAATTCAGCTAATTAAAATCTTCCACATATAATAACATACTTTCTGCTGCCAGATCAATTATCATACTAGTTTATCCTCCACTTTTACTTGATTATTTAAGCATGCCATTATCCAGAAATTTGGAGAAGCTAGCCTATCATGATGAGAGATTATTTTAATTAAGCCCATCTTGGGTAATCTAATATAAAAGTAAACTCTACATCATTTCATTTTAGAATTAATGAGAAGGGTGGAAGAAGTAAACATACCAGAAATTTTAGTATAGGAACACTCAATTACTAATAAAGAATATGCAATATTCATATCAGTATTTCCCACTTTAATTTTATGTATCCATTAATTAGTAATTTAGATTCAAGGGCAAAAAAACAACAGAAAAACAGTAACCAGAGAATACTGTCTAGTAATCAATATTTAAATGTCAAAAGTTAATAAGGAACTGAGGAGATAGTTATTGTTAGAAAAGATCTATACCTGGATTTCCTGGTAGGTTCCTTTTCTTCTTAACAGTAACAGGTGGTTGTGAATTTGTGTTTGATCCGTTGCTATTATTTGTTGTAGTTGAAGTGTTGGAATTTGGACTATGGAGCTGGCCAAGCATCTCTAATTGCTGTTTAACAGCTGCATGATCTCCAGTGGTATTCTCAGTAGAGAAACTCCAACTATCACAACTTGTGATGTTTGAGTTTGACATGTTGAATTGTTGGACAAAGATATGGGATATTTGTTCTTACTATAGGAAAATGAGAGGAAAGTGAAGGAAAGAAGATGGGATTTGTGAGTATATAGACAAAACCCACGAAACTCGATCTCCTTCGTATGGTGTGGACTGTGTGGAGAGGAGTGCGAGCATATATAAGAAGAATACGGCAATGGACTTGGGATTAATTTGCACTGTAATAAAATATATACTTGTTTATATAACGCACTGTTGATTGTTGCTATTACGCATATGCCCCTGACACTCCTTCGTCCTTCACTTATTTTTCTAAGCATATGTAATTAGCCACTCAGCATTATCCTCAGTAGAATTAATTTAATTAATTAACTATGCTTAGATAGAAAATTTAACTGCCATTTTATGCTTATTTTAACAGAGTATATATAGAAAGATTGGTCTGCGATTTATGACTCAGGATTGAAAATATGCAAGCTTGATTTACTGATTTAATTTACTTTCCTAAAATTTGATTTACTGATATAGTATCCTTGGGAATAATTAAAGCCGCTCATCATATGTCACTACTTTTACAAATTTTCCTGTAAAAAAATAATTTATAGATATTTCTTACAAATTTTGTTACAATTTTAATAATCATAGAATTTTTTTTTCGTGGTAAAAATTTGCAGAAAATATTGTAAGAATTTTATTTTGTTTCTTGCAGATTTTCTTGCAAAAATAAATTCGCAAGTAATGTTTACTAAATGGTAGAAAAAATTTGCAAGTAACTTTTCCTATAAATTTTCCTGCAAATTTTAATCTGAAGGAAAAATAAAAAAAATATTTAAATTTATAAGTTTAATATTTTAAAAAAACTTCAAGTCCCACATTGATTGAAAATAAAACAATTAAAGACTATATAAGTTGGGGCAACACTTACTTTACAAGTTGATTTATATAGTTGAATATTAGGCTTATAATCTACAATCATAGAATTTAAAAGATTATGTATCACATGTTGGAGGCATGGAAACAAATATTTTGGATGAATTCATTGTGAGCATTTAAAAGATGAAAAATTATTGATAGAATTTATAGTAATTTCTTTAATTTTTTTCGTAAAAAATATTCCTGCAAAATTTTTTGCGAAAAAATTCGCAGGAAACTTTTCTGCGAATTTTTTTTGCAGGAAATTTTCCTGCAAATTTTAAAATTCTCAAAAAAATATTATCCACGAAGGTATTACCTGCAGATAAAATTTCACAGGAAAATTTGCAGGAACAACGTTTCTTGCGAACTTTTATGAAAAATTCGCAGGAAAAGTCGCATGTAATAAGAGAAATTTTAGTAGTGTGTATTGAAAAATTAAATATAGTTGTTGGAATTTTTAAGGTTAGTCTCAAGATTCACTCACTTTATTTATTTTATAAAAAAAAATTAAGTTGCTCAAGAATTATTTCACTCAACTCAACTTGAATTAATCAAATAAGGGGTAATTTTACTTATGTTAAATTAATTTTAGTATAATGCAGTGTTTAAAAAATCGGACCGAATCGCCCGGTCGGACCGGTTGGACCGGGAACCGGTGGTCCAGCTGGTCCGAACCTTAAGTTGGATCGGTTATGCAGTCGACCCGTTTCAAACCGGATTGAACTGGTCAATTTTCCGGTTCAACCGGTGAACCGGTGGGTCAAACCAGTTCAACCACTTTTTTTTTTTTTTTAAGGGACCATAAACCACAAAAATAATAATGAAAATTGAATCTTTTAATAGAAGAACAAAGATTCTTATATAACAATAACTACTTGTTCTAATGTATTTGTTTATATAATATACAACTTAAATAACTTTTATAGTATATTATTAATTTTATATTATATATTTAATAATATAATATATATGTAAATATTACATATATTATTTTGTGATATCAATTGCAAGCATATTATATATGTACATATTATTTATATTTTTAATTTGTATTAATATACAGTTTAATATGTAATTTTTTATATATTTTTTACAAAATAAAAATAAAAATAATTTTAAATAAGATAGAAAAATTGAAATTTAAAATAAGATATAAATTTATTAAAATTTATAAGTATAAAATATATTTAATATGAATATTTTTTTAATAAAAATAAATAAAAACCGAGTCATGCGGTTCAACTAGTGACCCACCGGTTCAACCTTTGACCCACTGACCCAGTACCTTAACCGGTTCGATGACCGGTCCGTATACATATAAATTATATTTTAGATTTATGATAAATAATTTGTATTGTAAAAAAAATATTTTTATTTATTTATTATAAAAATAATAAATAAATAACTTATGTCTTGGTTGACTTACTCCAAGAGTAAGTATTGTTGAATTATTTCATTCAATAACTTATATTTTATATCAAATTTTAATAATTCAATTATTGAATTAAAAAATTTTAATGTATAGATCAAACATGCAAAATTAAAAAAAATTAAAATTATTTGATACTCGGATTCATCAATTTAAATTAATAGATAGTCATAAAAATATTTTATATATTAATTTTAATTAATGAAACAAAGTATCAAATGAATTTTAATTTTTTTTTTAAATACAAACTTGATTTATGCCTTAAAAGCCTTTTAATATAATCATTGTATCATTAAAATTTGATGTAGAATATAAATTATTGAGTGAAATAAATTTAGGTATGGGAGGAGAGATCCATTTATTATGAAAATTTTGAAAATTATATATTTGATACCTTATTTCATTAATTCAAATTGATGGCTAATCATAAAAATATTTTATATGTTGACTTAAATTAACGAAATAAAGTAATAAATAATTTTTTATTTTTTTTAAATTTACATACTTGATCTATGCATTAAAAACCTTATATTCAATGGTTAAATAATTAAAATTTGACATAAAATTTAAGTTATTTAATGAAATAAATCTACTCCTAAAATAAGTAAATTTTTTCTCAAATACATAAATACATATATATACACACAAATATATATATATGTGTGTATGTGTAACAATAGAGACATATGTATTTAGAAGAGAGTGGGGTAGTTGTCCCCACTAATTTTTTTAATCATTTATAAATATAATATATTTATAATTATAAAATATTTGAAATGTGATAAAAAAAATTATATTATAAATATTCTTCCCACTAATTAATTTATTTTAATTTTTTTATTTATTCTCTTAATTAAGTATTCTTAATATTATTTATCCTTTTTTTACTATGAATTTTACACTTATCTTTATAGCTAAAAAAAAAAATTCTCTCAAGTATGTCAAATTTTCTCTCAATTATGTCAAATCATTATTTTTTTTAATGTTTTATTCTTTTATTTTATTCCAAAACTTTTGATACTTCACTCTTCAAGCGAAATTAATTATTTTTTTCACACATACTCTTAATTGAAAAATTATATTTTTACTTTATAGTCATGATTGTTTTTACTATACATATTTGAAGATATTAAATAAAATTTTTTATAATTTTATTATTTTATCTTTTAATCTCTATAATTTAAAATATATTTTTTGTTTTATACTTATTTTTTTTTAAATTGTTATAGTTTAACATCAATATTTTTAGTCTTTATAATTATAATTTTTTAATTTTTTATAATCGTTATTGTTAAATTTCTTTTATAACGTTGCTTATTTTATATTGACATAATAGATGTTTTAATTTTTTAGTAAACATTACTTGCGAATTTATTTCTGCAAGAAACAAAATAAAATTCTACAATATTTTCTGCAAATTTTTACCATGGAAAAAAATTTCTATGATCATTAAAATTATAGCAAAACTTGCAAAATTTTCTTGTAGATTATTTTTCATAAAAAAATTTGTAAGAAATATATGTAAACTATTTTTTGCAAATAAATTTGTAAAAAAAATTTGTGAAATTATTATTGCAAAAAAATTTGCAAAAAACTTCTGCAAATATTTTTTTGTAGAAAAATAACATTTTTCTAGTAGTGGTTATAGCAATGCGCATGTATTTTGGATATCAAATGTTGCATTGTAAGAGTTATAACTTATAAGGGTGACATAGCACTTTCTTGCAATTTCTTTTTTATTAGTAAATTAAACAATTAAATTGTTCAATTAAAATTTTTTAATGTATGATTAAATTTATAATTTTTTCAAAAATTTAAAAATCATATGATATTACGTTATATATATTCAAATTCTTGTATAAAATGATTTTATAATTATTCATTAATTTGAATTAATGAAATGGAGTATCAAATAGTTTTCAATTTTCTTAAAAAAATTTGTAAACTTGATCTATGTATTAACTTTTAATCTAATAATTAACTATTGTTAAAATTTGATGTAAAATATGAGTTATTAAATAAAGTAAGTATATTTCCTTTATATATATATAAAGAGATTCGTTAATATCATAGTGTCTTAGTTAAATAACACCTTTAATAACATTTTATAAAATGTATATTCAACCAAGCCAACCATTGTAATTGACGATATTATTAATTAGATCATCAATACAAAATAACATACAATTATAAAATTATTTGGTAGTTCATCAAATTATTCTATTTTAACGTATAAAATGATATTCAAAATACATGTAAATATTTACCTTTAGATAACATATTTAGAGGAGTCTAAATCATTTGAAATTTGATATGCATGATTATGAGTATAATATTACCAAATACAAACATTAGATTTGTCAAAATTGAATTTTATAAAAAGTTATTGATGGTGTCACTTTACCAATTTGACATCATGGTGCCAATAAATCTTGATCCATATGTGTGTGTGAGTGAGAGAGAGAATACATTTGATCTATATAATAAGAATTTTAAATTTAACAATTAAATCATTGAAATTTATTATGGATTATAAGTTATTGAAAGAAGTAAATCCACTAAGAATTACTCTTAGAATAAATTAATTCCTCTTTTATATATATATATATATGTGAAATTATAGAAATAATTGTTTCAAGCATTAAACTAAACTTTCAGCATTGCCTACCTATGCCTACACAAGTATCGTTAATTATTTTGAAAAAAAATATGTGTCATTATTTATTTCGATAATAATTATCTTTAACAATTATGATTTAGAAATAATATGTGCATATACTAAACTCATTACGCCAAATTTAGCTTTTTGTGGTTATTGATTTATCCTTTAGAGACCATATAAAAATTTTTTT